ATTGTAGGTTTAATGTACTCGTAATACAAAATAAAAATAATAAAAATTAATTATCGTATCTGTATTTAAGAGACCAACAATTATACAATAATTTATTGCGACAACTTACCAGTTATAGGCTTTCCTCCGGTATTGATAGGTGGGTTCCATGCGAGACTGCAGCTATTAGGAGTGTAACCAAGAATTTCAGGTTGATTTGGTGCATCCGGTGGATCATACGGACTCTTGGCAATCACGGGTTTGCCCTCCAAGGGCTCTGACACACCATACATGTTCTCGGCACGAACTCTAAAGACATACTTTTTGCCTTCAGTCAAGCCCTTCGCCGTGAAGTTCGTCCGAGGAACATATCCTGGCACTTGTCGCCAATTGTCAGAATCATAATCAGAAACCTCGACAATGTAGTTCGTGATATCAGATCCGCCATTGTCCGCCGGTGGATTCCAGGACAGGCCGACGGATTCCTGCGTCGTACCAGTGTATTGCAAAGGACCCTGAGGTGGTCCAGGTTTATCCACGACTATCACTTCGATGTCAGCCGAATCTTTTCCATGCTCATTCGTCGCCGTCACAGTATACATGCCACCGTCATCTCGCACGGATTTTTCAATTAGAAGTTGTGTTCGATCGCTCTTGGTCTCAGTCTAAGAATATAATAAAAATAAGAAAATGTACGTGCACAGTAAAGAGTAAAGGCTATCATAACTAAAAAATAAAGACTAAGATATGAATTGAAAGGAACTCTACAAGACAAGAAATAAAATCTAAAATTTATGTTCTATAAATAAAAAAAAATATTGTAAAAGAAAATCTCTATACAAATTTTTTTAATTAATAAAAGCATTTAATTTATAGTTTAATTCAATTTATAATTATTATTCATAATTATTAATAAATTGTTGTATAGTTTGATTCAATTCAATTCCAGTCAAATTAATTGAATAAAAAATTATTTCTTATTATCTTTATTGCAATTCTATGTAAAACTAAATTGAAAAATAAACCTACAGATAAGCGAAGAGTTTCTATGAGCGATCTTCCATCCTTGGTCCATTCGATCTTTGGCGTGGGCGCGCCAGACAACGGTATGTTGACATTGATTGGTTCTCCAGCGCGAACTTTGATCTTACGTCCAATTAGAGCATCCAGATGAAGTTTTGGTTTCTCCTTCATAGGTTTAGCCGTGAACACGGATGAAGTCTCGCTCGGTTTTCCGGCACCTGCGGCGTTTATAGCCGATACGCGATATTCATATTGATGACCCTCGGTCACATGATCATCGTAATATTCAGGATATCTGACAGGTTCTTTGTTCTGCTTTATCCAACGACCTGTAGCACGATCACGACGCTCCACATCGTAACCAATGATCTTGGAGCCGCCGTTGCTAATAGGCGGAGTCCATTTGATCTTGATGTGATCTTTATCGGCGTCCACGCATTCTGGCTTGCCGGGTTGTCCAGGAACAACTAAGCAATTAATTGAATATAAAAATATGTTAACAAAGTAAGAAAACAATAAAAAGTGAACGTTTGGAAGAATTTAGATAAATTTCCATATCTATAAATTTATGAACTCGGAGAGAATTCAATATAAAAATATTAATTTTAAATTGTTATATTGTCATATTAAACAAATGAGAAACAATTTTGAGTCCTTAAGCGAGTCCTTAAAGATTCTAAAAATCATACTTAAATATATAATTAATGATCTTATAATAGTTTTAGAATGTTTTAATTGAAGTAATTATAATTTAAAACTAATAGAATTAATATTCTATTAATAGTACTTACCAAATTGATTTTTGGCAACAACAGATCGATCGGTGGTCAATGGTTCAGAGCGACCCTGAAGATTTTCTGCAGACACGCGAAATTCGTAGGTAGTTCCTTCCAGCAATCTTGGCACAGTGGCATGATTATACTTAGGATTAACATGTGTAACTGCTGGCACCCAACCACCACCATGCGTGAGATCGCGCTTTTCAATAACATATCCACTGTAAAATATAGAACAAACATGTATAAAAAATTATTTTGTGTACTATTAGTGCTATTCTGTTTTATATGTATATATTGTATAATTTGTAACACAAATTAACATAAAACTTATATAATTTTAATATGATAATTTCATTATAGACTTATAATTTAATAAATACAGAAAGAGAGAGAGGAGAAGAGGAGAGAGAGAGAGAGAGAGAGAGAGAGAGACAGAGAGAGAGAGTTAACAAGTCTAGGAAATTTGACCATACGGGAGAGTTGAACAATTATTTGAATATTTCATCTGGGATTCTTTCTATATTATTTTTAATGAAAGAAAAGTCACAAAGAGATTTTGTAAATTCAAAATATGTATCAAATAAAGTTCATTTCATAAATAATGTTGAAATATTTAAAAATTTACTTACGTAAGTTCGCTGCCTCCATTATCCTTGGGTGGCTTCCACGAGAGCGTGACGGATTGATTAGTGATTTCCTCATATTGCAAAGGACCTTCCGGTGGTCCAGGTTTATCCAAGACAGTCACTTGGAAGCTACCTTCATCTATGCCGCTGCTATTCTTTAGTAACAAATGGTATAATCCCGAGTCGGTTCTTTTAGCGTTGACGATATGCACAATTGTATGATAGCCAATCGATGTGATCGTCGTTCTGTCATTGGAAGTCAATTCGTTGCTTCCTACACTCCAAGTTGCGTCCGGCGTCGGTTCGCCGATGAAGTCGATATCCACGTGAAAAATAAGTCCAGCCTTGATACGAACGTCCTGTAAGGGCGTCTTAATTTTCGGAGCCACTAAACAAATTGAAGGAAGTTAAATGTAATATATAATGTTCAATGTAAATAAATTCACAATATATTAAAGATTTAGAATATAAAAAATAATTATGCTATATAAAATAATAATTTATAAATCTATAAAATTAAAAAATATTATTTATTGCTGTTATTTAAATTTTATTATACTGTTTAATCAAATAGTCACTTATTAAATTAATTATAAAAAAAAATTCACAACTTACGAAAACGAGGTTTGGCAGTGACGAGATCGCTAGGTTCCGACGGTTCAGATTGACCGGCGGCGTTGACAGCGATCACACGGAATTCATAATCCTGACCTTCTGTCAGATCCGGAACAGTCGTGCTGTTTTGGCCAGCCGGCACGTGTATTGCATTCACCCAGTAAGGGCTGCCCTTCTCCTTCTTCTGAACAATATAGCCTGTGATCGGTGATCCACCGTCATTCTTTGGCACCGGCCATTGTAAATCTACATGGTCTTTGTCCCAGTCCATGATTTGCGGTTTACCAGGCGCGTCCGGTTCATCTGAAAATCGCAGACGCACTTATTAATAACATTATTTTTTCAATGTACTTTTAACTTTAAGATTTTACGATATGCGCGAGTTGAATTATAACTCTTTTAATATCATTTTTATTTAATTTTAAAATATCTTTTTTTTTTTTTTTTTTTTTCAAATTACTCACCAAATTCATTCTTCGCGATGATGCTTTTCGTAGTCTCGAGCGGATCGGATTCTCCGATGTTATTAACAGCTTTAACACGGAATAGATATTCTTTGCGATGAATCAGACGGTTGACCTCGTGGCTCAACACCATGCTCATACCGGCGTCAGACCAAGTTCCACGAGACAAGTCCATCTTCTCGATAACATAGTGCAAAATAGGGCTTCCGCCATCATCAAGAGGGTGTCCCCATGTCAAGTGGCAACCCTCTTTAGTGACATTGCTGACATCCAAAGGCTTCTCTGGCGGTGCCGGTCTATCGAGGACAGTGACTCTCGCGCTGGCACTACAAATTTAAAATCATAATTTATTCAACTAACAATCATCAAAATTAAATTGTATTATAAAAAAATTTTGTTAAAAAAATTTCTTCAAATTAATTTTCAATATTAAAATCTTTTTCACATTGTCTTATTATTTGTTAAAATATTATTTTTAAATAAATGTATAAAATATTGTTTGTAAATTAATTTGATTAAGAGATTTTTCATTATCCAAATTAAAATTATAATCAAAGAATAACTATAATTTTTTTATTTGTCAAGTACCTGAAACTACCATGTTCGTTCTCCAAAGTTAGAGTGTAACGTCCAGTATCACCACGGACAGAGAATGGAATCTCGAAGGAAGTTTCAGTGTTAGTGGTGTACATCTCATGACGAGCATCGGACACAATCTGTACACCATCGCGATTCCACGTTGCCTTCGGTTTAGGTGACGCCACAATAGGAATGTTGTAACTGATCTTCTGACCGGCACGAACCACCAAATCGTGCAGCAAATGTGTGTCGAACGAAGGAGCAACTACAATTAAAGAAAAAATTATTAGAAGGCAATATCATTAGCAGAGAGAAAACATCTCCATTATTAAAAAAAAAAACAAATTATTGTAATAAAAAATATTACTTCTCAGAAAAAAGTCTTTATGAGAGAAAAATATGCATTTTAAAAAAAGACCCTACTAATACGAAAAAATACTTTATATATTTTTATAATAAAACCTTTTAAAATAATTTACTTATTAATTTCGACAAACACACACACATTTAAACTTACTGAAACGAGGCTTAGCAACGATTGGTGCCGATGCTTCGGACGGTTCACCAGGTCCGCCCTTGTTCACAGCGATGACTCTGAACTCGTATTCTTGACCCTCGGTCAGATCAGGTACTCTACCGCTGGTCTGGTTTCCGGGTATCTCGGCGGCTTTTTCCCATTGTCCGAAACGAGGTCGTTTTTCGATAATGTAGCCGGTTATAGGCGATCCGCCGTCTTTCTTAGGTGGTGTCCATTCCAGATCCACATGATCTTTATCCCAATCGGTGGCGACCGGCGTACCAGGTTTGTCTGGCTTGGCAAACGGATCCTTGGCAGTGATAGTGTCCATTCCCGTCAATGGCTGAGATTCGCCTTGCTTATTGACCGCTCGAACACGGAACTGATAGTCGTGTCCTTCAATCAGGTGGCCCACCTGTGCTGAGGTGGTGTTAGCCTCAGCCACAGGCACCCAGCGCATATTTTCCATGTCCATTTTCTCAACTTGATAGTATTGGATCTCAGAACCGCCGTCATCCTTGGGCGGCCGCCACTTCAGATTGCAGCCGTTTTTAGTGACGTTGTCGATCTTCAATGGACCTTCTGGTGGCAAGGGTACATCCAGCACGTTTACCGTTAATGTAGCAGAATCCTTGCCGTTCACATTCTTGGCCACAAGCGTATAGACGCCGGAATCGGAACGTTTTGCCTCCATCACGCGCACTTTAGTGTTGTAATCCTCATTAATGATCTTGATACGATCACTTGCCATCACTACGTTATCCTTTAGCGACCACTCCTTGCTTGGTGGTGGCTCGCCAGTTACCGGCACATCGAAGTCGAAGAAACTGCCAGCGCGCACTTTCACGTCCAGCATGTACTTCCTGTCGATCTTCGGTGGGACTAAACACAAAATATATAATATAATTAATTATATGTTATTAACCTTAGAAAGCCGGACTTATTTTTGGTTACCTTCCCGGCCTATATCTCTCACGCTATATCTCTGGACTGAATACGTATTTTTTAGTTCAAAACGCGTGAAATTTATATCTTGAAGTCAGACAAAGACAGAGAAATATGAATCAAATAAATAACATTTTATCTTTAATTAATTAGAATGCTTTAAAGAAATTTTATTGAAAAAATTTGCAAAAATGACTACTTTGGATTAAAAAATTCTCAAATTATTAAATTTAATGTTCAAGCAAAAACCTGTAGGATTTTTTTAGTTGACTTTTAGACCCTTTAAACTAACAAAAAAAAGTACGATATGAATCGCTCAAAAAAGTATAATTATTTAAACTATCGAAAATCGACATTTTTGAAGAATCTACATATTTTAAGTTTACAATTAATAAATAAAATTTTATTATTTGAACAATATAAAAGAGTAATAATATAAGTAGATAAAGGATTGTACATGTATAAATAGTATTATAGTATGTATAATTAAATTTATTAGAATTTAGTTTAGAGGGTAATGCAACATTCGCTCTAAAGCAATAAATCCGCCTCGACCGAGCGATCTCCAAAGACTGACAGAAATTATAAAATTTCTACTATAATACATATTTATTACATTGAAACATAATTTTTTTTAGTTCTACATTTTCGTGTACTTACTTTTATACTATTCGAAACTCAGTAAACATATATGTATTTAATAAAAAATAATGGGATACCCAGAACGCCGAAAACTTACAAGCTAATCACATGTCTCAAGTACCCTCTTTGAACTTTCGTTCTCACAACGAGAATAACGCAAAAAAAATACCCTTGCAGGCTTATCATATCTATAGACAGTTTTTTTTCAGCCTCAATTCAGGTCTTCAAATTATATTATAAAAAAGTTACAGCAATGTAAAAGATCGCATAGGGTACATTGTACTCATGTTCAGCTTCCTAGGGTTAAATTATAAATGCAACACCTACCAAATATTTTTAAGTTTTTTGTTTCTTGAACTTCTAAATTATAAAAACATTGTAAAATAATTCAATTCTTTTAAATATAGGTACATAAAATTTGATAAATTCTTTGCAAATGCTTACGATTCTTCGGTCGCGCTATATGGGACTTGGACGCCTCCGAAGCTTCGCCAGGACCAGCCTTGTTGACGGCTCTCACGCGGAATTCATATGGAGTTCCCTCGACTAGGTCGTCGACTCTTCCACGATTTGTGTCGCCATCAATTTCTGCGCATTTCTCCCAGGTCGGACTGTATTTGTCGCGTTTCTCTATGATGTAACCGGTGATTGGTGATCCACCATCTTCTTCAGGACGACTCCATTGAAGTTCAACGAAGTCCCTATCATAATCAATCACCTCGGGCGTACCTGGTTTTCCTGGTTCATCTACAAAAAATAAAATAATATAAAAAATGGGAAAATATAATATTGACACTTTGCAAATATTGGGGAATATAATAAATTACAAATAATTATAATAATTATATTGGAAATATATGACGCACTCAAATTTTTACTCGCAAATACCTAAAAATTATTATTTCAATAAAAAAATGTTTGTCTTACCGAAGGGATTCTTCGCCTCGATGCCCTGCATGGCGGTGAGAGGCTCAGATTTACCCTGCTTGTTAACCGCTCGCACTCTGAACTTGTACTTGTGCCCTGGCGTCAAGCCTTCCACTTGCAAGTTCGTTTCCGGTCCATCAGTCTCTCCGGCCGGCACCCAACGACCTGTGGCCTCGTCCATTTTTTCCACAACATATTTCTCAACTGGCTGCCCACCATCATCCTCAGGCGGTTTCCACGTGAGTTTGCAACCCTCGGCGTGCACGTCAGATGCGCGGAGTGGACCTTGAGGTGGACTCGGCTTATCCAGCACAGTTACTTTGACGAACGCCTCATCTCGGCCGTTAATATTCTCGGCAGTGACAGTGTATTTGCCGGATTCCGCACGCGTAGCCATTCGCACGTTCAAACTAGTGTTGTAATCCACGTGCTTTACTTTAACACGCTCACTCGGTCGGACCTCCTTACCGTTCAACATCCATTTGGTAGTTGGCGGTGGCTCACCCGTTACTTTACAATCAAAGTTAAAGTTTTGACCGGCCTTGATCTTTACTTCAATTAGGTTGGTACGATCAATCCTGGGCGCTAGATTGCGTGGTTTGGCGATGATAGTCGGCGTGGCGTCCGACGGTTCACCAGGTCCAGCTTTGTTCACGGCACGCACGCGGAATTCGTATGGTTGACCTTCAATAAGATCCGGTACTGTAGCGGATGTTTCATCTGCAGGCACCTCCAGTGCCTTCTCCCATTCGCCGTATTTGTCTTTCTTTTCAATTACGTAACCAGTAATTGGTGAACCGCCATCATTCTCCGGCGGAGTCCATTTCAAGTCGACGTGATCCTTATCCCAGTCAGTGGCTCGAAGATCACCCGGTTTGCCTGGTTCGTCTAAACATAGAAACAAAAATTTGATAAAAATTATGTCAGATTAAAAATAACATTTGTCTTTAAATTATGTTTCGTAATTTATATTTACACGATGTTTTATATAATTTTAATATATGTTTGATTAGCATACCAAATGGATTTTTGGCAACTATCGTCTGCTCCGCTTCCAAAGGTTTCGATTCGCCCTCGGCATTGACAGCAGCCACCCGAAAGAGATACTCCTTGCCAGGTGTTAGACCTGTCACCTCGAGAGCTATAAATAATTCATTTGACATAAATCAATACTATAAAATAAATTGTATGTATTTTAAAATAGCGAATTTGTAGCAGGAAAAACTTTATCAATAAAAAATGAAGAAATTTGAAGCGCTTTATATAAAACAAAAAATAATAGAAACAGGAATAATTACGCATCGTTTGAATGAAGATTTAATGGAACTGTGTGTGTTATGTCAGTTTTATGTTTTATTCAATTAATCAATCCGGCGACTTACTCGGTTCGGTAGAACGTCCGCAGGGTACCCAACATCCAGTCTCCGGATCCATTTTGTCCACTTGATAGTACTCGATGGGCGTGCCGCCGTCGTCTTTAGGTCTCTTCCACTTCAACTTGCATCCTTCCTTGTGTACATCTGACACTTGAAGCGGTCCCTCAGGCGGCGTCGGCTTGTCCGTCACCGTCACCTGCACCGTCACCGAGTCTTTGCCTGATGAATTGCTGGCGGTGACAGTGTAATCACCACTGTCGTCCCGCGATACCGGACGTATGCTAAACTTGGTATTGTAGTCGGTGTTGTCGATCTGCACCTTGCGATCGGAATGAAGCGGTATTGCGCCATAACGCCACTCGATATGTGGCGGTGGCTCGCCGATCACGTTGGCATCGAATTTCAGCATTGAGCCAGCGGACAGGGTAACGTCCCTCAAATTGCGCCTGTCAATCTTCGGGGCCACTGTAACGAATGATTGAATGATTAAGTACCGATATCATATTTAGACAAGCACACGATTCATTAAAATTATTTTTAGAATACGCGTACATTTTATGGCAAAAATACAAGGATTACTATCCTCTCAAGCGGAACAAGTTATTATAATATCAAAATGATTCCAAATGATCATTAAAAGTCATTTTTTAATCATTTCCGATTTATTTTAATATTATTTTGACGATATCATGACTTGTTGTTCTGCTTGAACTGCTATATGATCGATTGCTTGTATAATTAAGATCTTAAATGCACCTATCGATTGCTTGTATAATTAAGATCCTAAATGCACCATAATACCTATTATTAAGATAATATAGTATTTGGTATAATTCGTACATAACACTTATTTAAAGAAAAATGTTAATCAAATCAATTATAAATCATTGTACTAGTAAGAAAAATTTGTAAATGTTAAAATATTATAAATACTTACAGAAACGCGGCTTAGCGGTAAACGTCTTGCTTGCTTCACCGGGCTCTGACTGACCAGCCTTGTTTACGGCTATCACGCGGAATTGATAATCATTGCCTTCTATTAGACCATGTACCAAAGCTTTGGTGACCGGTGTCCCGGTCTCCAAAGCTTTCTCCCACATAGTGCTGTATTTATCTTTCTTCTCAATGATGTAGCCCGTGATAGGCGATCCACCATCGCTGACAGGTTCTTTCCAGGCAAGTTCAACCTGATTAGCTGTCCAATCGACCGGTTCCGGTGCTCCAGGTGCAGTTGGTACAGCTGTAAAAATTAATTATTATAATAAAATTAGCAATTAATATTAGTTTTAAAAAAATACTGAGCTGTCAGTGTTTTTATATAATACATTACGAAAAGAAGAAATAAGAATTAAAAACAAGAAAAATGCTACAAAGTAATTAATTTAAAAATAACAACTTATACATACTTCTGTCAATATACAAAAGCGTTAACAATCCAAACTATTTATACTTATCGAAGATGTTATTAAAAGATACACACACACATACGTAAAATACTATTTATTACTTTCGATAAATAAATTTTATAATATTCCACTTACTGAACGGATCTTTCGCTACGATCGAGCTAAAGGTTTCCAATGGTTCGGACTCTCCTTCTTTATTTAGTGCTTTGACTCGGAACTTGTACTCATGTCCTGGTGTAAGCCCTTCAACCTTCATCTCGGGCCCAGTAGTTTTACCAACTGGTAACCAGACACCAGTCTCTGGATCGAACTTCTCTACGAGATAGCCCTCAATTGGTTCTCCACCGTCATCCTTAGGTTTCTTCCATTTAAGCGTACATCCTTCTTTATGCACGTCGGATACTTCTAATGGTCCTTCTGGTTTGCCAGGCTTGGCTGATAGACAAACAAAATTTAGATTAAATTGTTATATAAGTAAAAATATAAGATTATACTCGGAGAATGAATTTTTATTACAGATTATTGAACATTAAGTACTTTTATTTTTAATATTTGACAAAGAGAAAAACAATAAATAAAACAGTTTATTCATTATAGACTGATAATAATTTTTAGTACCTACTAATAAACAAGAAGGGCTATTAGCTAAACGATATCATTTAATGTAGTTATTCAGAATATAAAAATAATCACTATTTTAATAAACAATACTGATCGGATCACTATCAATGTTAACCAAATTTTAAAATTACGACATAAAAATAGCAGTTATTCGTACAATATTTTAGTCAAGTAAAACATAAATATAAAAAAGTACTAAAAAATTACTATCTTATATCCATTAAATCCATGTATTAGAACGTTTCGATAGATAAAAGTGGTTCATCTACGATTATATAGAGTATACATATATAATAGAAATAATAATATACAATTATTTTCCTTAATTATAAAACTTGCAAAACATTAACTGTAAAAATTACTCACAGACAACGGTGACTTCGACTTCGGCGGTATCGGATCCATGCTGATTGACTGCTGTGATCTTATAAGTGCCACTATCCTTACGTTCGGGTTTGTCGTTGAAGAATTTACTATTGTAAGGCACATTCTGTATTCTGCGATGTGTGGTTTGCTGGATGCTCTTATTGTTGATTACCCATGTGACGTCTGGCGGTGGTTCTCCGATAATTTTAACGTCAAAGTGGAACGCTTCGTTCTCGCGTACAGTTATATCGCGCAGATTACGTCTGTCAATCTTCGGCGGGACTGAACAGTCAAAAGAAATAACATCATAATTAATAAATCTATTCCTCATATCCATTAAAATTTTAAAAAAATTTTTAAATATATTCTTCTCAATAAAAAATCTTGAATCACAAATTTAAAAGAATTTTTTTATGTAAAAATTTTTGTTGAAAAAATTTTTGTAAAATTTTTAAAAAATCTTAAGTGTTCTAAAGATTATTTAACGAAAGAGACAAATAATAAAATATTTTTAATTATCTGAACTCACGTCTTCGACTCTTGGCGGTAATCGGTTTGCTAGCGTCGGACGGTTCACCGAGACCGGCAGCATTAATGGCCTTGACCCTGAATTCATATTCGACACCCTCGTCGAGATTGTCGACGCGGCCCTTGCAATCCGGCCCAGTCTCGCACGCCTTGATCCACTTGGGTGCGCCCTTCTCCCGCTTCTCGATCACGTATCCGGTGATTGGAGATCCGCCGTCTTTTAACGGTGGAGTCCATCGCAGATCTACGTGATCCTTGTCCCAATCGGTCGCCTCCGGACGTCCTGGTGCACCAGGCTCATCTGTAGTATAAATAAAACTGTTATTACTTATCTAAACTGAGAAATGTAAGAAAAAAAATTTCAAGGATTAATTTTGAAAAGTATAATAATTGATAATTGATCACAATTTGGTCTCATTGGACGTGGTGTTACTCTTCACAAACGTCCCCATAGATGTTGCTTTGGAGTCAGCGAAAAATAAAGCTACATATAAAAAAAGATGTAACTTTTCGAAAACAGATTTTCTAACAGTAGTTCAGTTTGTCTTAAATTCCACATATTTTACATTTGACAATGTCATTTATAAACAGTCCTTTGGCACATTCATGGATTCTCCCTTGTTACCCATCATTGCGGACTTAGTTGCTACAAAGTTTAAAAAACACCGCGTTACGTTCACTTAACAACCAATTACCGTTTTTTTATCAATATGTTGACGAGATATACGGCAATCCTATTATCTGATATAGTAACAATATGAGAACACTTCAATTTACTCCATATCCCATGACTCCTATTCACTTTGGAAAACGGAGGAGGGTCACTAAACTTTTTGGATATAACCACGAAGAAAGAAGGGAAGTCCTTGACTTTTGATTGGTACCACAAACCAAGTTACTCAGGTAGATACCTGAATTTTTTATCTAATCACCGATCTCCCAAGAAGAGAGGTACCATCATAGGTTTAGTTGATAAAGCATTATTATTATCCGACGCAGAAATTCTTTATACGGAGAATTTAAAATTTGTAATTAATACTCTATTCGAGAATGACTCTATTCGAGAATAACTATCCATTCGATTTCATTTTTAATACCGACATTTTTAATATCAACAAGAGAATCCACAGCCTCATGAAACAAAAAGTAGAAACGTGTATTCACTCAAATAATAAGATCGAATCTGATAAAACTTCGTAGTTCACAATTATATTTATACCTTCTATTACCGATAAATTTAAACAATTTAATAGTAAAGACTAAAAAGTCGAATTTTATAGTATCAATAAATTACAGAAATTTATTAAAGTTCAAAAAGATCCTCGATCCCACTCTACCAAGACCAATGTAATCTACAAGGTCAATTGCTGGACTGCGATGCTACATGTGGGACAAACGCCGGGTAGACAATTAAAAACGAGAATTACTAAACATCGCAATCACATCCGGAATACTTCTATCCGCTCCGTGATAACAGAACACAGGTTGCAGCAGGGACACGAATTTAAGATAACATTATAATTCTAGATGAAAAACCATACTATAACAAATGCCTAATCTCGGAAATGTTAAATATTAAAAAATAGAAAAACAGCATCAACTTACAGACAAATACGGAAGGACTTCCACAAAGCGTCATGTAATACAATGTAACGTTAAGTTAGTGTAATGTGAAGTTTTTTAAATTAAATTTATATTTCATATCAATTTTTCAGAATGTTAAAACTTTAAACATTTATTACACATATCTACAATATATTTGAATTTGACTCTACTTTGCCCTTCGATATTCTTGATATTTTTATTAATAATTGTTAAAGTTTTATTAATTAAAAGATTTTTTAATTGTTTTACATTTAAATAATGAAGAAGAAGAAAATTGTATTTATGATATTCGTCATACAAAATTTTAATATAAAACATTTAAGTAATTTAAAATTAAATAAAAAGATAGATTTAAGAAATTAGAAATCTTACCAAATGGATTCTTGGCAACGATTCCATGCTCGGTCTCCAATGGTTCGGATTCGCCTTCCGCGTTTACAGCCGCAACTCGGAACTTGTATTCTTGTCCGGGCACCAAATTCTCTACCTCCATCATGGGTTCTTTAGTGCGTGCGACAGGTATCCATCTACCGGTTTCTGTATCCATCTTCTCGACCACATAGTGATCCAAAGGTGCACCACCATCATCTGCTGGTGGATTCCACTTGAGAGTACAGCCCTCTTTATGTACGTCGGAAACCTTGAGCGGTCCTTCAGGTTTGCTAGGTTTGTCCAGTACCAGGATCTCGATGGACGCCTCATCTTTGCCAGAACTATTCTCCGCCTTCAAAGTCAACGTGCCACAATGCGCCCTGGTCGCCGATGAGACCACGAACTTGGTCTTGTAATCCTCCGTTTCGATTGTCAAAACATTGCCGGATTCCTGCTTAGCCTTGTTCAGGAACCAAGTCTTACTTGGCGGTGGTTCACCCGTAACTTTGACGTCCAGCCGAATGACATTACCGGCCTTGATTGTGATATCCTTCAGGTTTGTGCGATCGATCTTGGGCGCGGCGTAGCGATCCTTAGCGATCAGGGTTTCGCTGGGCTCGCTGGGCTTGCTCTGGCCACCTTTGTTCACGGCCTTAACTCGGAATTGATATTTTTGACCCTCCACAAGATCTGGCACTTTGGCTTCGGTTTTGTTACCCGGAACTTCCGCGGCTTTCTGCCATTTGCCATACTGATCTTTCTTTTCAATAATATATTTTTCAATTGGTGCACCGCCATCCTTCTTCGGGGCTTTCCATTTCAAGTCAACATGATTCTTCGACCAGTCCTTCAATTCGGGTTTGCCGGGCGCATCGGGTTCAGCTGTAATTAGAAGTAAATGTTTTACAAATATTTTATTATAAGTATATTTTTTAAGATGTTATAATATAATTAAAAGAATTTTTAAAATTTATAAGGAATAATAAAAATAAAATGTTTACAATAAGGATTTTTGGCGGTTGTCGGTATGGACGTTTCTAGAGGTTCGGATTCGCCCTCGGAGTTGACAGCTTTGACACGGAATTGATAATCCTTGCCCTCGTTTAATCCAGACACGTCTGCTTCTGGAATTTTGCTGGTACCGCATGGTACCCAACGTCCAGTGTCCACATCCATCCTTTCGATGACATAATGATCAACCGGTTCGCCACCGTCTTCATCGGGTTTGTCCCATTTCAGCTTACAACCCTCGGCCGTCACATCAGACACTTCAAGCGGTCCTTTCGGTTTGCCAGGCTTACTTAGAACCTGATAAACATTAAATAAACAATCAATTATATTTAACAAAGGATGTTCTAACAAACAATTCCATATTCTTAACAGAATTTAACTTACATAATTAAAATTGCAAAGCAATTGTCATACAAACCTGAAGCTCGACGTCGACCTGATCAGTGCCACTGTCATTCTTGGCAATAACGGTGTACGTGCCGGTATCCGAACGCTGAAGCTTATTGAGGATGAACATAGTATGATAATCCTCGTTCTCAATCTTGAGTCGATCCATGCTCTTCAGCACCTTATCCTTGAGTTTCCACGTAACAACTGGTGGCGGCTCACCCTTGATGTCAGCCTCAAGTCGCAGCATCTGGCCAATTCGCATGACTTTCTTGTGGAGATTTTTACGATCAATATGCGGTGCCACTAAAAATAGATAGTAAAATTAGATAATTATTATACTGCAAGAAATAAATTTATAATATCTAACAATAAAACAATAAAGTTATATATATGACGCTTACAGAATCGAGGTTTAGCCACGACGCTTTTTGAAGTATCGCTGGGCTCGCCAGGTCCAGCTTTATTGACCGCCACGATCCTAAATTCGTATTCATGACCCTCCTGGATACCGTCAGTCACTTTAGCGGCCGTTCGGTCTCCCGGAACCTTAGCAACATCTACCCATTGTCTGCCTTCTTTATCTCGCATCTGCACAACGTACTTCTCGATCGGCGCACCACCGTCATCCTTGGGAGGAGTCCATTCGAGATCGACAAAGTCTTTGTCCCAGTTCTTGAGTTCTGGTCGACCAGGTTTACCCGGTTCATCTAAAATAAAAAATAATTAAGTTTTTAAGTTTTTAAACTAAAATTTTTCAGAGTTCGAATACATACCGAATGGATTTTTTGCTATGATGGACTTGTCAGCTTCCAAATCATCGGATTCTCCTTCTCTATTGACAGCTTTCACGCGGAATTTATATGGTTTACCTTCCTGCAATCCTGTAATGGTTGCTTCAGGTTCGGTACTACGACCACAAGGTACCCATTGTCCAGTAAGAGGATCCAGCTTCTCGATCTCATAGTATTCGACCGGTGAACCACCATCATCTTCGGGTTTGTCCCATTTGAGTTTACAGCCATGTTTGTTAACATCACTCACTTCCAAGGGACCCTGAATTAAAAACGAGATATTTAATCAGATTATCAAGACAAAAAACTTATAAGCTAGACAATTAGAATAATTAAAATAATTAAAATAATTAGTAATCAATATTACAATTAGTAATAAATAATTATTAATAGTATTGATAATAATATAATGTAAAATTTTTACTTTTGGCTTGCTGGGTTTGCCAAGAACAGTGATTTCTACTTCAGCAGTATCCTCGCCGACTTCGTTCTTCGCATTGATCACGTATTTGCCGGTATGTGCGCGTTTAGTTTTTAGTATAAAGAATTTCGTGTTGTAATCAACATTGTCGATTCGTATCGTGTCATCTGATACGAGCTCCTTATCTTTGAAGGTCCAAGTAACTTTTGGCGGCGGCTCGCCAATAATGTTTATATCCAGACTTACGGTAAGGCCAACTTTTACCGTTATGGGTTGCAGATTCGTACGATCAATAAACGGTTTCACTGCAAAATAAAAATGAAAAAATCAGATATCGATAAATTTATATAAATTTTTATATAAATAGATTTAAAAAATTGAATTTAAATAAATCTTAATAAATAATTTTACATAAAATATTATGTATACGATTATTTCTTTAATAATGCAATATACGTTTATATTTTCAATCTTTTTGATAAAGGACTGTAATTTATTAAAATGACGTAATACTTACACCAACGAGCTTTAGCGGTGTGCGGATTGGTAGCCTCGCTAGGTTCACCAGGTCCAGCTTTATTAATGGCGCGTACTCTGAATTGATACTGATTGCCTTCTTCTAAACGTGGAACTGTGCCAGTACATACGGGCCCTTGCACTTCAGCAGCCTTCACGAAATTAGTACCGAATTTATCCTTCATTTCGATGATATATCCAGTAATTGGTGCACCGCCGTCTCTTATTGGTGGTTCCCACTTAAGCTTTACCATATTCTCCGACCAATCGACAATCTCTGGAAGTCCAGGCGCCGCTGGAGCATCTAAAATATTTCATAAAGTATGCCGTAAGTTTTTTTGCTTGTTCTCTTTTAATAATTAAAAAAATTATAAAATAAACGATATAACTAAATAAATAGATTTTTAAATCGTCTTCTTTGTTTGATATTGTATCGTAATGTTTATTTATTTGCTATTAGAAAAAGAAACAAGCATATTATTCATAATTATTAAAATAATATTTCTACATATCTGTAACAAATTTAATTATGAAATTAGTTAGTACCATCCATATTGATAAATTCTTAATTACTATAATATAATTTTTCTGGAAAGTAAGAAAAATATCTATAGCTTATGTGTATGTATCTAAAATTACTTAATCTAAACAATATAAGTTTATTGAGCTCTTAATATTAAAAATAATAGTACAATACAACAAAAACATAATGCTAATTATTAACCTGATTAAGAATCAATATATACCTATGGTGAAAAAATTAAATCTGTAAATTAAGCGCATTCATAACAACTATGTATAAGCTCTTAATTGCCTGGTTGTATTGTAATATTATACTTAATCTAAAATAGAACAATACGTATAAAAATAAATATGTGTATGAACATTGTAATAAACATTAGAGTACTATACCATATGGATTTTTAGCTACGATGGCAACGTCGGTTTGCAGAGGTTCTGATTCTCCCTCTTCGTTCACAGCCTTCACACGGAATTCGTATTTATGGCCAGGTTCCAAACCGGTAACTGCGTGTTCAGTTTTATCAGGGTCCACGATACCGGCTGGTACCCAACGACCTGTCGTCACATCCATTTTTTCTACTATGTAACTGGACAGGGGAAGTCCACCATCGTCTTTCGGCTTACTCCACTTCAATTTGCAGCCCTCCTTGTGCACGTCGGTCACTTCTAGTGGTCCTTCCGGCTTTCCAGGCTTGTCTACAAAATTACATAATAAGTTTTACAATATAAATATAATTATACATTATTATATTATATTGTATAATTGTGCATTTAGTTTAGCAACTTTGTCTAATATAATTTGAATCTTTAAACATTCATTATTTTATTTAAAAAATATTTTTAAAAATTTGTTTACATTATGCATTTCTTATTTCAACATGAAATAAAGTATTTTATGTACATATGTATTATAAAATATTATAAAATATATATAGAATTTCGTTTTATTTTTAAGTTAAAATAGAGATATGGATATAACATACCTATATATTCAAGTTTACTCACCAAGAATATTAATTTCTACATCAGCCTCATCTTGTCCGGAATCATTCACAGCCTTGATAGTATATTTTCCAGTTAACTTTCGACTGGTGTTGGTTAACTGAATCTTAGTGAGGTAGTCTTCGTTATCAATTTTAACATTGGCTCCAGTTTGAAGTGGTGCACCAGCGAAACTCCATGTAACTGTTGGAGGAGGTTCACCTTCGACGTCAACTTCCAACTTCACTAGTTGACCTGCTCTTACTTTGATAGTCTGCAGCTTATCACGATTGATGTGCGGTTTCACTACAAAAAACAAGTTTTGTATAATATTATCTTAAATTATTTTGTAATAATTAATATACCAATCCAATATTTATTCAGTTTCTCACTTTTTATGAATACAATAAATTAAATTCTGACATTAGAGATCTTAAATCAGAATAGAAATTATAAATAAGATTAAAATTATACAATTATAGATTATATTTTTTCTAATTTACAATTATTAAGTATTTTGAGCTTTTCCTATATAACAAGTTATATTTAATTGTAATTTGTTAAATCAATTGAGAATAACAAACCTTTGAGAGCCAATGCTGGATGTAATTGCACAATCAAATTTTATTATATATAACAATTAAATAAGTAAAATTTTTCGATCCCAGATTTAGATCCTCTCCAGTAAATACATAATTGATAAACTTTCGTCTAATGTAATGCATTTTTCAGGCAGCGCAGTATTAAAACAATAGAAATTCTATAGATTCTAATCAATTAAATTAATTAAGTATAACATGGCAGCATTAGCTCTCAAAGGCTCGTTATTCTTAATTGATTTCATTTATTAGATTTCTATTGTTTTAAATTTAAGTGTTTACACTGCGCTGCCTGAAAAATACATTACACGGAAGTTTATCAATTATGTATTTACTGAAGAGGATCCAAATCAAAGATCAAAACGTTTTATTGTATATAATGCTTTACTCATTTAATTGTTCTTCTTATTCTTCTTTTTACTTTAAGCCTCCGTCCTGTGTTTATCTCTCTTATATGCTTGTGGTGTACACGCTGATTATTCAATTATCAAGAACATGGGACTTATAGTTTTAATGCCAATTCCGAACAGCGGATTTTTCGAGAGGTGTTTTTGTGGGATACTCTTGGAAGGTTGCCGGCATTTTCCGAGAGGAGACAAAAGTGTAAATATTTTGGTTCCTACTGAGATTGAACCCGGGATCTCTGGCATGATAAACTAGTGCGCTGCGTCTATCATGCCACTCATACTCTCATTTAATTGTTATATACAATAAAACTTGATTGCAATTACATTCCAGCATTGGAATGCCAGCTCTCAAAGACTTGTTATTCTTAATTATTGATTTATTTTATTAGAGCCTATAGAATTTCTATTGTAAATTTGTTAATCAAATTGAGATACTCACGGAATCTTGCTTTTGCAATGTGCGGCTTGGTCGGGTCGCTAGGTTCCGATGGTCCAGCCTTATTAACAGCACGAACACGGAACTGATAAGTGGAACCTTTTTTCAAACCGGTAACACGACCTTTTGGTTGTGGCGAATCGGTGACAAGAGCTTCCTCCCATTGCGAAGAAGGTTTCTCCTTTTTTTCAATAATGTAACCGGTGATTGGCGCACCGCCAGTATCTTTTGGAGGTTCCCATTTGAGATCAACGCGATCGACGTCCCAATCTTCGAGTTCCGGTGTTCCAGGCTTACTTGTAACATCTGTAAAAAAACATTTGATTTGATATTGCTATAAAAAGTAGTAAGTAATATTGCAGAATATTTTAATTAAACTGTGAAAATGATATGTATTATAAATCATTAATTTTATTCATTAATTTTATCATTAATTAAATTATACTTTAATAATAACTATACTTTTTTAGAAAGTTATTACATAATATCAATTTTTACTTTTTGAATAATTTCATTTAATAAAAAATTGTTTATTTATTTAATATTACTATTCAACTTACCATAAGGATTCTTTGCAAGTGTAGAGCCGTCTGACGTAAGTGGTTCCGATTCTCCTTCTTCATTTAGAGCCTTTACTCTAAACTCATACTCGTGTCCTTCCTGAAGACCCTTTACGTCCATCTCGGTATCCGCGGTACGACCAACTGGTATCCATCTGCCTGTTGATTTATCCAATTTCTCCACTTGGTATCCAGTGACCGGTTTGCCACCATCGTCTTCCGGTTTGCCCCATTTGAGTTTGCAACTGTTCTTCGTGACATCCGCCACTTTAAGCGGTCCTTTTGGCTTTCCGGGAGCCGCTGTACACAAAAAACATTAGTACAATAATTCAAAAAAAAAAAAGAGAAAAGTGTTTCATAATTTATATTTTGCCAGTTACAAAAATTTCATATATTGCCACTCACATAATATCGTCACTTCAACTTCCGCCTCATCTTCACCATGAGGATTGACAGCCTTGATCTTCCATACGCCAGTATTTTTGCGCAGACTGTCGGTAATAGTGAGCTTCGTATTGTAATCAACATTGACGATTTCAATGTTCTCACCGGATTTTACTTCATTGCCGACGTGATACCATTTGATTTCCGGCGGTGGTTCGCCACGTACATCCACGTCGTACTTAACAGTTTTACCGGCTCGTACGACAATCGGTTTCAAGTTCGTTCTGTCGATTCTCGGCTTCACTAATGAAGTGAGCGAAATTATACAACAAAATATTATTTTTTATATAATAAAAATAAATCTTTAAATGTTTTTCTACAATATTCTTTTTCTTAATTAATTATATTATTAATTGTAATATTAACTGTATTATTAATTGTAATATTTTTAATATTATATAAGACACATACATTAATTGTATTTATATTATAATTATATTTGATAGAAACTCACGAGCTTTGTGTTTGCAGATCTGCATCTTTGACGCGTCGGATGGAGGCGAGGGTCCAGCTTTGTTTACAGCAATAACTCGGAATTGATACTCGCCCCTTTCCTTTAAATCAGGTACTTTGCCTTCAAGTTGATTTCCAGGTACTTCGATAGCTTTTTCCCAATCGGGCTTGTACCGATCTTTTTTCTCGATAATATACTTTTCGATAGGCGCTCCTCCATCGAATTCTGGTGGAGCCCATTTCAAACTTACAGATTCGTTATCATAATCAGTGACTTCAGGCGTTCCAGGCTTCAAAGGTTCATCTGAAAAAGAATTTTTCAAATTTTATTCTAGAATTTAACAAATAAATGTTTAATTAAAATTTTAAAGACATAATAAACAAAAAGTTGAAACGTATTAATTAACTTCTTAATTTAAAAAATTGACTTTATATTATATAATCAAAGAAATTATTAATAAAATAATTTCAATATACAGGGTGTTTGGAATTTAAATGTCAAAACTTTGAGAACGTATAGAGGATCGATAAACTAATAGCGAATTTGATTGGATGCACTCAGTACGCACTGATGCACATAGCAACTACGTTTTTGTCTTTTTTCTTGAAAATGAAGTAAAACGAGCATATTTCTACCTTTTTTCTTAGTTTATTGATCCCCTACACGGTTCCGAAAAGTTTTGACATTTTAATTCTGAACATCCTCTGTTACATAATATTAAAATTTTTTTAATTATTAAGATAAACATTAGATACACATTTAATTATATATATAAGGAAAATATTAATATACCATAAGGATTCTTGGCAATAACGCCACGTTCACTCTCTAGAGGCTCCGAATCACCCTCGTCATTGACAGCTGTTACGCGGAACTTGTATTCGCTTCCAGGATTCAATCCAGTGACTTCAAATTCAGTATTCGGCGAATTTCCAGGCACTTTGCCGACTCTGACCCATTTACCAGTCTTTGTGTCCATCTTCTCGATTTCGTACTCTTTGATTGGCACACCACCATCATCCTCTGGTTTCTCCCATTTCACCTTTGCCGAGGTATTGGTAACATCGCTGACTTCCAGAGGTCCTTTAGGAGCATCCGGTTTTCCTGCAAGAAAAAATTTTGCTGTAAAGATCCTTTTCTTTTTAAGATCGACTCTTTTCTATCTAAAAATTGATTCGTGCAACTGATTACACACACACACACACACACACACACACACAAAAATAAAAAAATAAAATATTAAATTTAATCAGTAAGTTTATTAAATATTGATAAATATCCTTATACACAGAACGTCGTAAAAAGAATTTGAAAATTGGACTTACCGAGTACGGTAAGCTCGACGGTTTCTTCGTCTTTGCCATTAGCATTTTCAGCAACAAGCGTGTACTTTCCGGTATCTTTGCGCATTGCATTCACGATCGTAAAGTCCGTGTGATACTCGACATTCTCGATCTTAATGCGTTCAGTGGTAGTTAATGGGATGTTATCTCTCCAGATCCATCTGGTCTCCGGTGGAGGTTCACCAGATACATCCACAGACCATTTATGGGTGCGACCAGCTTTGATAATGACTGATTTGAAATTGGTTCGGTCGATTCTCGGTCTCACTAAAAATTTTCCCAATTTTAAGAAATAACTGCAATAGTTTTCTAATAATTGCAATAATTTTTATAAGTATTATAGCAATGCTGTAAAAAATTTTAACTCTTAGTGATCACTGGAGGTCTAAAGAATCCTCAAAAAGATGTGAGACTTTGTATTTCCAAAGTCTTTTTTTAAAACGTGATTTAAACTGCGTGATTTATCCGAAGTTTAAAATACCCTTTTTGCGCCAATGGCTGCATATTGTTCCTTGATCAATCTTTGTGAGTTTTTAAATATATATATATATATGTTAAAATTAAAAACTTTAAAAAGTTACTACATTTTCATGTTGTATAATATTTAAAGTATGTTCAGTAATTTTTGTGATTTTAAAGAACAAAGCTGTAAATACAGCAATCAAAACGTTGGAGTCATTTTGCCCCCTGTGTGACCAACATAAAATTCTCAGGAGTGATCACGAAGAGTTAATCATTATTACTAATTGGAAATTTTATCGATTCTATATGACTAACAATAAAACTTATAAACCATAGTAATTTTAACTTACAATTCCGGTGTTTGCACAGATGATTGTCTGTAGGTTCGCTTGGCTCGCTAGAGCCGGCCTTATTGTGAGCGCGAACGCGAAATTGATACACCATCTTTTCTTTAAGGCCTTCAACTTTAGCCTCAGGTGTTGAGTCGGTAGTCTTCATTACCTCAACCCAGTCGACGGCGAATTTGTCCTTTATCTCGACAGTATAGTGAGTGATCGCTCTGCCACCGTCGCTCTGTGGTTTCTCCCATTTCAAAGATACACTGACGTTATCATAATCAAAGATTTGCGGCTTGCCAGGTTTGCCGGGCTCATCTGTCGAAAATATTATATAAAATTGTCTCAAATCGTCGCTTCATTAACATTATCTAATTAAATTAAATTAATCAAATTAAATTAACAATATTTACGTTGCTAAATTTTATTTTAAACATTAATTTCTGCCTACGAAATAGTTTTGTTACCTGATAATATTCTTGAAGCTTCCACGGGTGCTTTCTATATAAAGATTATGCGTTTCGCGGATTTTCTCCGTGTCTAGATCCATTTTTGGATCTAGACCAACGTTTCGTGAATCTTGCAGTCCACTTCATCAGGGCGAGAAGCAGCCTGATACTGTAATGAAGTGGACTGCAAGATTCACGAAACGTTGGCATTCTGAAAATAGATCTAGATACGGAGAAAATCCCGCGAAACGCATAATCTTTATAGTTTTCTATTTTTATCCAGAAAAACTATTAATTATTAAAAATGTTAGATATCTTCTTACCGTAAGGATTTTTCGCGAGGATAGCTTCCTCGACTTCTAAAGGTTCGGATTCGCCTTCCTTATTGACCGCTTTGACACGGAACTTATATTTCTTCTTGGGCGTTAGACCAGAGAACGTGAAAATCTTCTCGTTGGGGCCAGTTTCTCCGGCTGGAATCCATCGTCCAGTATCCAGATCCATCTTTTCCAATACATAGCCTGTGATATCGGTACCGCCGTTATCCTCCGGCGTATCCCATTTAACTTTAACGTGATCAGAGCGGACTTCCTCCACTTTGAGAGGTCCTTGCGGAATCGACGGCTTGTCTGTAAAAAGATAATGAATTTATAAGATGTAACATAATTTTCGAATAATATTCTACAATTAAAAAATTAAGCGATAAAATAAATATTTCTTTGCCAATAAATTTAAATTGATTATTTTACCCTCAAATTTGTAATTTCTTTTTTAATTAACTAAAAAAATATTTTATTTTTTTTTGTTAAAATATATATTATTTACTGTAAATTTTCGCATAAAATTTTCTTTAAAATTAATTTAATTTATTCAAGAAAAATGTTAATTAAAAAAATTGTTAGTTTAAGAGAATTTTTTAAGATATTAAAAGATGCAATTAACTTACCAAGAACAACAACGTCGGCAACGCTTTCGCAGGTGCCAGAACTGTTCGTCAATACCAATTTATATTTTCCGGAATCAGGTCTAGTGGTCTTCCTAACTGTCAGTACGGTATTTCTTTCGTATTTGTCGATCGTGATTCTTTCGGCCGTATCCTGAATTATCTCCTTCTGGCCCAGGAACCAGTGCACCTCTGGTTCTGGCTCGCCAGCGTACTTGATATCGTACTTGATGACTTGACCCTTTTTGACGACTAAGTTTGTAAGACCATCGCCGACAATATATGGCTTAACAAATCGGGACTTGGCGATAATTGGTTTAGTGGCATCAGACGGTTCACCAGGACCTGCTTTGTTTACTGCTCGTATCCTAAACTCGTACTGCGTGCCTTCTTTGAGACCGTCAATAGTCGCTTGAGTCACATCGCCTTCAATCTCTTTGCCCGCTACCCATTCCTTGCCAAACTTCTCCTTGTACTCAATTATATAGCCAGTAATCGGGGCACCGCCATCATTGTCAGGCTTTGTCCATGTCAGATCAGCGTGATCCTTGTCCCAATCAGTTACGTCGACATTTGTGGGTTTGCCTGGTTCATCTAAAAGACACAAGAATATCTTTCATTTACTTCTTTTACTCTAATTTATATTTATGAATTACCAAATCAACATCCAAATAGTGAGATTAAATTTTTATAATTAACTTTTACATCTAAGATCATTTTGTTATCTCCTTTAATTTTTGAAGAAGATATGAATTTTATTGTAAAAGATAATATTAATTTCTACATTAAAAAAAAAAAAATCAATTAATTTGCGATAAAATTTACCCCATGGATCCTTGGCTAAGACTGGTTTGCCGAACATTGCCGGTTCGCTGGAACCGAGTTTATTCACTGCTCGTATGCGGAACTTGTATTCCCTCTTCGCAATTAGATCTTCGACTTTGTAGACACATTTTTCGCCAGATATGACTTCACCCACGCTATCCCATTGAGACTTTAAGCTAAGATCGAGGCGTTCAATAACATATTTCGTGATGGGTGCGCCGCCATCATCCTTCGACGGTTTGAAGGATACGACGCAGGAATTTTGGAAAATCTCGTTAACTTCAACATCGTACGGTGGAGATGGAACGTCTGAAAAAATAATTAATAAATATGAAAAAATAAAACATTTATTATTTTACGTACAAAAAAATTTATAAAAGTACAAACCTTGCATAACAATATTGACATCCTTTACTTCTTCACCCTGGTTATTGCCAATTTTAATCTGGTAGATACCAGACGATTCGCGTTGAGGTTTCTTGATTTTATATGTGATTTTATCCTCACCAACGACAATTTCAACGTCCTTGAGAGGTAGAGGTTTGCCGTCTTTCATCAGTTTTGCTTCCACTTGACTCTGCTTGGTGCCATCAACTACAAATTCAAAAAATAAATTTTCCATTTTATATATATTTTTACATCATAAATTTTATCACATTATACGTAAGATGTGAATCCTTACTTTTGAAAGGCACGACAAAGACCAATGGAGCGCTGCAGGGTCCTTCGACTTTGTCAGGGAAGTCAACAATCGGCTTGCTTTCGCCCTTCTTCACAGTGAGTTTACAACTGCTCGTTAACTGACCACTCTCGCACATGATTTCGCCATCGTCTGCCATTTCCAACTTATTGAAGACCAACTGATGCTTACCGCCGCCCAAATTCTTGATCTCCACTCTCTCATTAGGTTCGATCTTCTCGCCGTTAAAGTAGAATACAGCTGGCGCGGTCTGATCTTGAAGTTCGACGTCCAGCACCAACTTCTCTCTTTCAACCGCGACAGTATCCTTCAACTTCTTATTGAAGCGATTGGCATCTATAATTTTCGAGAAGATACATAACCATATAATCTTTTTTTTTATGAGCAGTCAAAGAATTAAATTAAAAAATATTATATTTACAGTTTATCACAATTTCAGCTTCGGTCTTGTCTGCGTTACTCACGCAAGAGTAAAGTCCGGCATCGGTGACTTTACAATCTTTAATAATGAGTTTTCGTTTCCTGCCTTCTTCCTTAATTTGTACTCTAGAACAGAAATTATTTATTAAAAAAGTGTAAAATAAAAAATTACGTAAAAAGGTACCTTTTGTCAGGCGTGATTGCTTGGTCACCCTTGAACCATTGGACTTCACCCGCGGCATCATCCAGTTCGCAAAGTAATGTCAAGGTTTCCTTTTCTATCAACTGCTGGTGTTTCAGCACTTTGACGAACTTGTAAGGATATTCTAAACAAAAAAAATATATTAAGTTTCATATACGGTTAAAGTTTTATAAATAAAAAATTGTAATTGAATTATTGTGTTTATTGTATTTATTTTTCAAAATAATGCCTACCGACTATAGTGAGTATGGTTTCGGTCTTGTCCGTCTGCTTGTTTATTTTGCAAGCGTATTCGCCACTATCTTCGAGAGTTGCGCTCCTGATCGCCAGCCGGCACACGCCGGACATATCTTTGGAAATACTATACTGATCTCCATCCTAAAAAAATTAACAATGGGATATTTTAAATACTGCAACGTTACAAATATTAAATATTTATTCGAATTTTCAGCGTAATAAATTACCTCAAGTTTCGTTTTGCCTTTATACCAGGAAACTTGTGCCATATTAGAACTAACTGTACATTCCATGTAAGTTTCGTGCTTTGTAAAGCCGCTAGTCTTTTTCGATAACGGCTTTAGGAAGGTAAACGTTGGATCAGGTTCTAAAATTAAAGGAATTCCAAAATATAAAATTTATGTAGTGTAAAAGTTTGATTCTTAGAAAGAAGATTTATTCAACCTATGTTACGTACCATCTACATTGAGAAAAGCTGTACTGGATACGCCAGCAATTTCGATCGTATATTTTCCAGTGTCTTCGACTTTGGGTCCAGAAATAACGAGCTGATAGCAATCCTCCTCGTTTTTAAATTTGTATTTCGCCGATGGGAATAATTCCTACATAAAAAGCAAATTATTTATCAATTACTTCAATCTTTAATCTGCTTTTCTATAAATTATAAAATGTATTACATAAAATATAATATACCTTACTCAACTCTTTTATACACTGAAAAAGAAGTGTTTAATTTTAAGCTATTAAAACGTTATGTTCTTTTCTCTATTTTTTAAATACTTAGACTGAGTTGTTCCACCTTTCAGTTCACTGTCTTACTTTCTTATGCTCTTACTCTTTTACTTTTTTGTTTATCCAACACATAAATTATCACAAAGTTTTTGAAGATAAAACAATCGGTCCCTTAAAGATGTTTTAGTTTAAAACTTTTTCCATAAATAAAATACTATATTTAGATTTAAAATACATAGTGTTTTCCGAACACGTAGTTTTGTTTATTGACTTCACATTGTTTTTCAGTGTAGCTCGTAAAAATAGAAAAATATAATTAAATAATGTTTATTTTTGAAAGAATACTTACGTCTTTTCGGAAGAACCATTTCGGCTTGCAGTTCGGTTTCGAAAAGTTCGCTTCGAAGACGACCTTCTTATCTTTGCCTTCCTTGGCATACTGATCTACCAGTGGCTTCAGGAAACTTTCTTGTTTCTGCGAAAAAATATCACCAATCAATTATAAATCATATTCGGAGATTTAATCAAGAAATCCAATAGTAGTATTGTTCAACATCGATAGCAATCGCTTTGCCAGGTTACAAAAAAAGGTAGTAAGAAAAATCGGCGAAAAATTTGAAAAAATGGCGTCACTGCCTCTCCGTATGAGCAGAAGAATGGAAGGCGAGGACGACGAAAAAAGGCACGAAGACAAAGTCTCTAGAAGGGATTCTAGAAGGAAACTCTAGACAAAAAACTTGCAAAAAGTTCAGTCGATCGTTTGTCGACAGAATTGGCTTGATAAGCTTGTCTTCAAGCTCATGACTTATCATGCTTATTATTGTGATCATGCTTATGATCTAGTGTTAAACGGTTTTGAGGAATAAAGAATATGTTGGCTTCCTTGAAAAAAAATAAAAATGTATTTGCTATTGCTCGAGCAAAATGCGCGAGAAGATAGTTGCTGAAGAAGGCTTTGCTTATAATACATTCAGAGACGACACCGCTGAAGAAAGATATTATTTGATGCAAGGGAATTCAACTGTGAATATTTTTGCTGATGTTTTAACTAGTCTCATTATTAAAAAATATTTAATAGATTTCAAGAAGTTAATTCGGATAAATAATGTTCAATATTAAAGTTTGCATCTCACAAGTAAATATATAAATTTAAAATATTATATTTGACATCCAATTTGAATTATTTTAATAAGCTAAAAAATATTTCAATAAAAAATATATTAGCTTATTTATTAATAATAATTTAATTAAAAAAGTAACTTTTTTCAATTATATTAATTAGCAACTTTTATAAGAAAAACTTGTCACAGATTAGGATCCCTGCAAATAAATTTTAAACAGAATATTCTCTCAAAACATAAGAGAAGAATTAGAGAAAGTTATATTATAGGTCGAGCCAGAAGATACAACAGAAACGACGTAACTTTGATCTTAAGTAATTAATAAAATAGAATTTATTAATCGAAGGCAGAAGAAACAGTAGTAGAATTTAGGACGAGACAATTAATTTGTATAAAAGAGTCGTCCAGAGAAAAAGCGAGCTCTCAGAGACAGAAGCGAATCAGAGACAGAAGATAGGTAGATCGCCAAGTTTCGAAGAGTGTCGAGGCAACAGGTACAATAGATAGTCAATATCACGTGAAATTATTGATGGGAAGTTCAATTCATAGAGAATCAATCCAACCTCCGTCTTGATGAAGTGATGCAGGATTGGCCAGTCGGGTATTAATTCGGCCAGAGACGGCCTACGCGATCCACTATTCTAGAAACAAGAAAAGGCACATCCACTATCACAGTATCTTTTCGGAATACGTCGGGTTGATCTTACTCGCTGATCGCTTTCAGCGGAGAGCTATGATAGGCTTTTATTTCAAATTTAGTTGTTATTGCTAACTTTATTTATATTTGGTTTTATAAGTTTTGTTGTTTCAGATTTTCTGAATCAATTGTCGCTCGTCATTGTGAGTTATGCATGATTAACTGCAGCGGTTACGATCATTAAACAGTTTTAATAATTCTAACAATTGTTAAGCTATATTAAGTTGTTACAGAATATTATCAAAATATAGAATATTAATAATAAATACTATATTAATTATTATTAAGCATAATATATAATTATCACAAATTAAATTATTTGAATATCAACAATATTCCATGTTTATTAATAATTCTATGATTTTTTAAGATAAATGTGAGTCACATAACTCAACAGAACGAAGTTTAATGATAAGGAATGTTATTTGAATAATCCATATATCGTTTAAATGAGGTTTGTCTATTTGACTAATGATCTTTAATTCAAAAACATCCATGACATTGTGTGCATGCGTGATAATAAGCAAATGTGATAATAAGACTCATTTTTAATTAAGCCAAGCGTGAGAGGCATGGATTTAATTACAGAACCTCGATTATCCGACCTAATGTGGACCGAATTTATTCAAGTTGGATAATCAAGATATTTTATTCCATTAAAAAACACGGTTTAGATAATTACAGAACCTCGATTATCCGACCTAATGTGGACCGAATTTATTCAAGTTGAATAATTAAGATATTTTATTCTAGTAAAAAAACATGTTTTAGATAGAAATAAGATTAAGACAATATTAAATAATCGAGATGTCGGATAATTGAAGTAATTCTATATCTGTAATTCTAAATTAATCTGTGTGATGCCCGTATCAGAGAGAGATTGAGATTAAACTTAAAATTGAGATCAAATTTGATCAACCAAAGTAAAATTTACTAAACTTGATATTGATCTTCTGATTGCTTAAATTCAATTTTAATCTCAATATCAATCTCTAGTCTGATAAAAGCATAAGAATTTATACAAATATTAACAAATTTATATTTACTCCTCTGCTTTATAATTTTTAAAAATTTTTATAAATTATTTAGAAAAGCGCAGGCCAAAGGGATCTCTCAATCGTAAATAGTCGCAAGAATTTAAAAATATTCTTCGGAAAAATTATGAATTTTAATTTAATTATACATCAAATTTTTGTAAAATTTGATTAAGACAAATGTATGTAGATATAAAATTCTTGCGAATAACTGACTGGTTTTCGTTTTCAACGATTTATTCGGTTTACATCCTTAGTCGGATTGATGTAACACCTGCCTTAATAAAACAAAGAGATCACTTACAGTAACTTTAAACCTACATCGTAAGAATCGATCTCTTTGCTGTGTTACAACAACAGAATTTTTATGTTTTATTTCGCTCAAAGGATCAAGAAAATCCAAAAAACACAGGGGTATTCTGGCAAATTATGATGTAAAATGATGAAGTAAAACGTAAAAAGTATTGTAAGAAAGTTTTATCTTAGTGTCTTTCTTAATTCATAAATTTTAAATTGTTTATGTAATATGTTATAGATAATTATGTGTGTGTGTGCTGTGATATTCAAATTTAATTAACCAGAATACCGCGCAGGAAATATAGTAGAAGCCTTGCGGGGCGGTTCTGCTCTCTGTTTTATGGCTTTTTGGAATTTAATACAAGGATGCATTCCCTTAAGACTTTTTTTCGCGAACCTTCTCCTTGGCGTGTGTCGCTAGTTTTGGCCAGTCGACGATTAGCTCCTGCAAACTTGGCCTGCGCTGAATGTCGAAGATATCCTACATGCCCGGCATACACACATCATGGTTAAAGTCACTTTTATACAATTAGCCAATAGCGCATGATCATAGAACTCTGATTTAGAGAAATATCTAATAAAAATTTAAAAAAGAAAGATGGCGTTTAATTAATTTTTTCCGACTAATGCGCTTTTTGTCATCAAGACATCTTATATGTATTTAATTGTTGAATATTTTTTATTTATAACTGTAAAATTCATTATATTAGAGTTCTTATCTTTTCCTACGTTACTTCTACATATTTAGAGATAATGCTTTTCTCTTAATGTGAGAAGTATCACATGCAATGTTTAGAATAGTGCCAATTACATCACACGTTATTGATAGACTAGGAACTTTTCAGTTACGTTAATTATCGTGCTTGCTTGTTAATAGAGAAATATGTAATAAATGTAAACATATACAGCTAGCCCTCAGTGTGCGCATCATAGTCGTGAGGGAAAGGAGAGTTTGAGAGATTTAACTCTCACTGAAATTTTTTTCGTCTTATTTTAATTATAAAAAATGCAACTTTGATTTTGATTCCAAATAATTTTCTTGTTGTCACAAATAAAATATTTTTTTCTCTCGGTTATGACTGTATAATTTCTGAAACTTTCATTAGTTAGAGCTTTGTTAGGGTATATACACATACATATATATATACTAGTATATAAGAAAAATTTTCGGATATATCCCTAATGCGATAAAATAATGTTTACAATGTAATTTCCATGTATTTTAGAATCTTGCATTATCAATTCTTTGTAATAAAATCAAATGTATCAATCCAGAATTTGAATAATTTAACAACTTAAAAGCACAAAAGAGGGATAGATGTAATTTAAAGTGCAGCATTAACTCTAAACCATAAAAGTGCATACGTTAAAAATGAAAAAAGAAAGTTATGTTGCTTGCGCGATAAAGTATAAGTAAAGGGGAAGTAGAAAACTTATATAGCAAACTTAAATTCCCAAGATAATTAATTTTAAAAAATCATATAAACAAACAATTCGAAATTGGCGCTGTAGATAATGCGCAATTTTTGTTTCTTTAAATTAATTATATATTATATCATTACTTGTACATGTTTCGGCCTTCTTAAATTTATAGTATATATTACAACACGTTATTACAGTATATATTACAATACCATAAATACCATGAATACCTTATAAAAGTCGATGTATGTTGAAGTAACAGTCAATATCATTGTGTGGTAGTAACATCATCCATTTCAGAATAAAAATTCTCAGTTTGAAAGCTGGATGGTAGTGAATGATTGGAAATCTAATTAATTGTAAATAATAATTAATAAGCTAAAAAACATTTTCATATTATGGTCAAGAAAAACTTACCCCACAATGATGTAACCGACAATTATATTGGTCAATTATTAAAATAATAAAATAAGTAGTAATAATAAATTAAGCTATAATAAAATTAACAGCGTAGTCAATAATAAAATTGTAATAGAGTTAAATATAAACGATAATATAATTTAACAAATTGTCAAATGTATTACTGATTAACAAGATCTTTGATCAAGAAACTTCAAGAAACACGATTTTCGTCGTTTCTTGTTAATCAGTGACACATTTGACAATTTGTTAAATTATATCGTTTATATTCAACTCTATTACAATTTTATTATTGACTATGCCGTTAATTTTATTATAACTTAATTTATTACTACTTATTTTATTATTTTAATAATTGACCAATATAATTGTCGGTTAGATCATTGTAGGTTAGATCATAAGTCTTTCTTAACCATGATATAAAAATGTTTTTTAGCTTATTAATTATTATTTACAATTAATTAGATTTTCAATCATTCACTACCATCCAGCTTTCAAACTGGAAATTTTTATTCTGAAATGGATGATGTTACTGCCATACAATGATATTGACTGTTACTTCAATATACATCGACTTTTATAAGATTCATGGATAACCAATGTATTGTAGCATATACTGTAAATTTGCTAAGGAAGGCTAAAAAATTAGTCAAAACATGTACAAGTAATGATATAATATATAATTAATTTAAAGGAACAAAAACTGCGCACCGTCTATAGCACCAATTCCCAATTGTCTGTTTATATGATTTTTTTTAATTATATAGTAAAATTTAGATAACGCCGCGAGAGTTTCAGATCTTCTAATAACAATCAACAAATCTACTATTCTATAATTCTTTCCTACTTTATAGAGATATAGTAAAATTATTTATTTTAAAATCTGTTAATATTTAAAGAATAAAATCAGATTGTAAGTCCTAATGTTTCATCAATGTTTTAAAATCGTAATCGTTGTACTGTTCTTGTCACTATGATTTATTATATAAATCACTCGGGAAAAGACCTTGAGCCAGCTCCAATTAGTTTCACCCTTCTTGTCGAGAGAAATTCGAAAGATCTCCACACCCGCTGACAAGATGACTATTTCCTCGCCGTCTTGAAACCAGCCCGATCCATGCTGTTCGCTTCCTAGCGACTAGGAGACAGAGGTAGACAAAGAAGAGAAGAGAAAGACACAGAGAAAGGAACAGGCAGAAAATGCATTCTTGAAGACTCTATCTTCAAAAATCTCTACTAAGTTACCGTTAGCTGTATGCTAAATGAAAACATTACTTAATGTATTTAATTGTCCAAAATATTATTCTGTAATATTATTTTAAATAAAAAATGAAAATGTTCATTAGTTTTCGACTTATTTTAATTTGTTTGTAATTAAATGAAAGAACATTTTGGCTGTTATAATATAATTGTCAAATAAAAAAAAGAAACAAAAAAAGAATTTCAAATCAAAATATGGATTTATAAAGTAAGTAATTCAACAGCATTACTTTCATTAAATTTATGTTACGTATATAACATTGTGTTTGTTTTTACATTCATAAAGACACCATCAAGCTGTTAATGGCGTGCTGAAATCGCATTCGCACATCTCCGTTATATATTACATCGATGGCGATTGTAAATGTGATGCGTAATCAATTTTATTTAAAAATATGCGAAATATATATATATATATTGAATTAAATTTGTTTTAAAGTTGAAGAGATATCCATATAAAGTTAAATAAAATATCCAAATAAATTTTAGTTTGTCTTGCTAAACAATTAACTTATTAATTTTTTTACATAGTTTATATTTGTGTGTGTGTGTGTGTGTGTGTGTGTGTGTGTGTGTGTGTATGTAGAATTAAACGTACCTTTTCCACTTTTTTCAATGCCGGCATGGGCTTCTCTACTTCCTTCAAATCTACTTTTTCTTGCTCAGCTTCTTCTCGCGCCCACTTTTGATATTTCCTCTTCTTCAACATAGCACGGAAGTCCATGCCACTGGCGTCTGTCATTCATCCAACAAATCAAAATTTAAAATAACAAAGCAAATTTTGTGTTATTACTAACGTACTCGTATATATATTAAATATTAGAATTATAAAGATTATATTAAATTTAAATTAAATATAATGTAAGTATATAATTCCAAATTTTTCAAATGTAAATAAATTAAATAGAAAAGCTCAATTCGTTCTTACTTCTTATGCAGTGTTCGAGCTTTATCTTATCGAGGATTAAGTTACTGATCTATATTAACTGGACACCATGCTAAGACAAAGATTGTGTTTCGGATACATGTAAATTATATGACTATAAGAATGTTAAGTTGACTCACCGGAAACATAGAGCTGCATCTCGGCGGAATCTTCGCCATGGATGTTGCTCACGACGATCTTGTAAGTGCCCTCGTCGTTGGGTTTCGTCTTCCTCATGCAGAGGGTGATCGTGTTGGTCTCCGAGTCAGTGAGGAACTTGAAGCGGCCACCCTCGATGATCTCGGTAATACCCTTGTAGAATTTGAAAGTTGGCGCGGGCGTGCCTTCCACCGCGACGGTAAGATACGCCGTCGAGTCTATAAAAAGAATGCCAATAGAATCAATATTGTTAAAATAAAAATATGTTATTAAAAAATATTTTACGTTGTAAGATATTTATTGCTGCAATTACATATATTGATTAAAAAAAAAAATTTTTAATAAGTTTTCTATTGATTGAAGAGCAAAATGCATTACCTTCGACGGCGGAGTACGATTCCTGAACATCGACGATCTGGGGTGGTCCACCTGGTCCAACATCTCGCAGAGGTGTACTAGGTAAATTGATCCTATTCTCGAGGTCCGCCACGCTGGGTCTTCTGATGTCCGCTGTACTCGGACGACGACGCTGTGCCATTCAAATAAAAATGTGATCAAATTTATACACACTTTGCCATCGCATTTAATATAGACATTGAAAAGCATTTAAATAAAAGCGAGAATATTTAAAGCATAACGCGCAACGACTTCTGCTAATCATATAATTTAAATTTGAGTTTGATAAATCAATATAATCAAAGAAACACAAATCATCTGTGTAGTTAATAAATGATTCTAATAAAAAACGATAGTTAGATAAATATTTACTTATTTTTTACAAATACATTCTATTTATTTTTTGTAATGATACAATAAAAATTAATTTTATTATTTTTTAAATTATTTCTTGCAAAACAGAAACGAAAAAAAGCAAAGAAATGAAAGTCGCCGTTGTCGTTTGAAAAATCTGCAGCGCTCATGCAATTTTGCATATTTTGTACATTTTAATTATTACTTACGTTTATTTACATTTTATCATTGTGAGTTAATGTTATTTACATTGAAAATTAATTTACATTATTAATCAGCGTTACGTTTCACGCATTAGTGACTTTGTGTTAGTCACTAAATCAAGTGAGTTTCAATAATGTTAGTGACAATTCTAAAACACATCCTTTTCTCAGAATACATTGATTAGCAAGATGGGATCAATAAACATAGGTAATTTCACATGAATTTCCGACTTTCATAAATTCTTTAATTATGAGTAGCCATTACGATTTCAAGATTTTCTTACTTAATTTTAACAACTGTTTTGTAAGATTAACGATTACTGTTAATCTTCAATTTAATTAAATTTTTATTTTTACAAATTATTTTAGAAATTTTGTATAATCAACTTACTTGCTTTCCATTTCTACATATTCTTTACATGTGTGTGCAAAGAAAATATCTTAAATAATTTATGATAAATAATTAAACCGAATATGTAAGAATCCCTTGAATACGAATAGTCGGAAAAAGGAAATAGAAAAGGAATATATTAATCAGATGAATAAGAGATTGAAAACAGGAAAATATAAAATTTTAATATTTTTTAAACATTTGTAAAACCATAGAAAACATAAATGATACTAAAGTCTATTTGTAGACATTTTTGCATTATTCTTTCTTTCAACTTTAGAAACAAATGCTCTTCCGATGGTGAAATATATGTTCTTATACAATAATGAAGATGTGATATTTGTGCGTCGATGCACAACTCGTGAAATTGTGGCAAAATGCATTTGCCATGAAGTGTGAATCGCAAAGCAAAAATGCGAATCACAAGTTACGCGTGGGATGAGAATTTAAAGCCGAAGTTAGTTAATCATTATTTACATTAAATAGTCGTCAGTCAAGAGACTTTCAGACGGGATTAAATTGCACAAGAAGGGACAACTTTACAGAAAAAAATAAAGATACAAATGCAAAATAAAGGACTGTTCTCTTTTCTGTAATTATAAAAAAATACAATATTAAATTTAATATTTGCAATATTATTTTATAGTATTATTATATTATTATACATACTATATTATGTTATTCCTACTAGTGCAATAAAATTCTTTTTTTTATAATCTATGATAAGGCTACCATACAGTAAGGATATCATTAGCGATGTTCTTGGCTTTGCAAGCCGTCGATGTTAGAATACTAAATTACATTAAGAAAATTAATAAAAGATACAGAAAGTTGGGGAAGAGAATGATACGTGAATTCAACATGATGTGTATGACATGAATGATTATTTTTATGTTTTGGCGATGAAATGATTGCTTACTCCGTGAACCAATCTGATCGTCGTCAATTAAATTGCCGTTCGAATATTCGTCTAATGGGAAAATCAGTTATCAGGATTATTTACAAAGAGACACATTACGATATCTACACGATATGCACAAATACGATGCCGTACATTTATAAATTGGAATGATGAGATGATGGAACATGTTTAATGTTTCATTTCAAAGAGCGACATCGTATTCGTGACGATGAGAATGAGAATATTTCGATTGAAATCTATTTAACATATAGTGTGAGCACGATAAATATTTACACCTATACATAAAATTCTACATAAATAAGTTATTTCACACATATATATTTTTGACATATAGGAACAAACTGCTCAGTTTCAAATCTATCGCAGCGATATGCAGAATTGCAGAAGAGAACTGAACTCTTCAACGTCAATCTTTTAATAAAAGGACAAATTATTATGATGATTAATTATATAAGATATATTCACCACAATTTATAAATAATTTTGTATAAATAATAAATTATTTTTAGCAACAAAAAAAAACAATAAAACAATTTTATTGTTAGATATTAAATTGAGATATTTCTACAAAAATAATTTTACGGAATAAATTTTTAAATATTTTTATTTTATTCATAGGATATCGTGGACGCTAAAATAAAGTTGCACTACTGCGACAAGTCTGATACTGAGTCGTACTGCAACTACTAAATTTTTAATGGTGGTAGATCTCGCACAAACAATTTTCTCAAAAACACAATGAGATTGATAAAAAAAATATGTCAGCAATTTTGCTTTCTCCATGGATTATTTATAATGTAAATTAACTCCAATTTCTTACCACCATTACAATCTAAACTGCATCTAAACTGCATCTATACAGCCGCATATAATGTACAGGTGTATCCGCTCGAACTAATAAGCAGAATTTCCGCAACGCGACCGCAATGAGCTTCTTCAGGCGTTATACATTGAACTGATTTATGTTTTTAATTTTAATTACAAAGTTCGCACATAAATCGATGCAATGTAAAAAAATCGCCGTCTGCAAGCGCATTTCGTCAGCGTTGACTATTCGCGAAAAAGTGCTCTTTGCAAAATATTTATAGAACATACAGGTTTATAGAATAACATCCAAAAACTTTGCTCATATCAATATGATACTGATTTCCTTTTAACAAAATTGTAAAGAAAAATTGGGAGAATTTTTGTCGTAAGAAACTTTCCTTTCTGACCTCAAACTTAATTTTGATAAAATTTTTTATTTAGAATGAGTAATAATTTTAAACAGAATTTCATTAATAAATAACAATCTCTCTATTAATCTCGATCAACTTTTAAATCTATAAATTTTTGTAGATTTTTGGAGGCTATTCAAAAATATCCTGTAAAAACAGTTTTCAAATTTTAAGCACGCAATAAATAAGAAAATAATATCGAAATAACGTATATATAAACGTAGATAACGTATATGTAAACGTATGTACAAAATAATATAAAAATATACATATGCGTACACGCACAACAGAGATATTGTGCTAACCTCTTTTTCTGGCAGCGCGCCTAGTCGGCCGGGCTTAGTCTGTGTGTGGTGCGTGAAAAAATAAAAGATGAGATAGAAACAGAAATAGAAACATAAAAGGGGTGGGCAAAGAGAGATTAGATTTTTTTATTTCTGAAGGGGGGGGGCTTCACAAGAAGTGGGCTCTTATCTTGGGAGTGTGCTCAATATAATAGGGGGAGGGAGTGATTCATTTTTCGATGTGAGAGAAAAGAAAACTCAAATTATTGATCAGTAAATTATTTGCCAATATGCTCTCAAGAACATATAATATTAAAAGATATTAAACCGGTATTAAAAATTACGGTATTAAACCGCAGATGGTTGAAAAAATAGCGGCTAGCGTGTTTACAGTAGCAGCAGCAGCAGCAGCAGCAACTTCAAAAACTTCAGTTAAAAACATGTCGCAGAATTATGTTTTTTATTATTATTAATATCATCATCGTCATATATCGTCATTATTGTTATTAATATTATTATTGCCGTCCCGTGGTAACGCGTGGCGTTGCTTTTGCCTCTCTCATCAGGGACTTCCCTCGTCAAGTACGTTTTTAGTTTTCGTTTTAGTTATTGGGCTTTTATTATTTTGTCTTTCTGTAGGCGAACAAGGAAATAAAATTGACGCTTAAAAATTATAAGAGCTTGAGGGGGGAGGGCGCAGAAAAATAAAAAAATTCAAAAAGGGTGGTCGGTGTCCGTAAGACAAAAAAAGAAAAAAGACAGAACAATACATGATACGAAAGATTGCTGGTATAGTACTTTGAGCAGGTAAGCTTTGTGTTATAGCGAACACAAATCTCACCTTTGTTTCGAAAACCTCACCGGGCCGTAACTTTCCCAACTGCAAAAATCACAGAGACGAACACATGAGGGTCAAGTGACTGCTCGTCATCGTAAAGATATTCCTTTCATCGCTTTTGTTAACACGGATTTTTGTTAAAGTTTCCCGATAGATTTACACAGAACATTAAAATACCTCTTTCTCTTTTACAGAAACAGTTGACAAAAAGCGCTGATTCCGAAAATGGAAAACAAAAATGCTCCTGCGTGCTGGCTTCGCTATTTCTGTTAAGGGTCAAGAATTGGCTCTTTTTGCCGGATTATAACGGAATTGCTTTTTGATTATTTGCTTAAGACAGAGACTCGGTAAGGACACGGATAAATAAAAGTCTGGGGTTGAAGGAACAAGGGGGAATCGCGGTAGACGAACACAAATGGGGGCTGTTCGAGGCTCGCCTTACCGACGTTGCGACGGCTTGTGCGTTTGCATTTCTGTGCGGGTGCATTGCTAGACAGAACAGTGCGATTCGGCGGTGCGCGTTGTCAGCTAATACGTCAATGAGTTTAGGTGCAACCAGATTGCATGTGATCGTATGAAAGAGACGGATCTTTTAAAGAGTGAATCGCCATTCGTAAGAATAATCTGAAAACTGCATGTCGATTATCTCAAACCTGTCACATCTTCATTATATTTATATGAATTTTATGACAACTTTGAACTATAATTTCATGGCGGTTTTATACAATCGCTGTTTCGTAAATTTATTATAACTTTTTAATATACTCGTAATTATTGATTTTTTATAACATAAAGGTTCAACATAATCGACTAAAGAGAAGCAAGGGCGTATCCGTGGCTAGTTACAAGATCACAACATTATCTTAGTGAAATTACTATTTACACTCATAAATATTTTTAATATATTGATGATTAAAACTTTCACTGTCACAAGAGAATTCAGAGGAGATTTTTAGAATAACCCATTAAATGTAAATTCGAGTCCAATTAAATTCTTGGGATTTTCACTTTTGCGCGACAAAATGTTCGAATTTACTAGATCAGTATGCGAGATAATAATTTAAATTTGATAGTAATGTACATTTAACTAACAGAAATGAAATAACAAGTGTTTCACACGAACGATGAAGCTTGATCGTCAGACATGATTCACACGTCTTGTCGCGTCGCTGCTCGAGATATTTATTAGCGTCGATGTCTATCTACAACGGCACAGTGCTTGCCAAGATTACCCAGTGATCTATTGGATAAAGATGTAAGCCAGAAAAGACTTAAAATCTCGTATGCGAATGATTAACATGCACACGAACAAGCCCTGACTTCTTTTGCTTCTCTCATCTCGCATTATCAATTAATATTATTGTTATTATTATTATTATTATTATCGTCAGAATATGCATATCGGTTGCAACAGATCCGTGCCAAGTGCAAAGATGCATTTTACTCGCTTCACGATCTTGGATTACGTATGTCGAAAGGCACGTGCGAGATGTTGCTCCAACATCTTTTATTTTATCAAATTAAACAAGATCTTCCAAAATATCTATTAATGTTTATTAATTTTCCAAAGTGTCTATTAAAAAATTATGTTAAAAAAAGAAATGCATTTCTTAAAAATAAAGGATGCTGAAACTTTTCCAAAGTTTACACGTCATCGTCGGGAATTTAATTGTTTGCTCTCGATGTGAAGTTTACTCATTAATCGTATAATCAAACCATTATATTTATAAAATGTGCGTAATTAAATTCAGGACGACTCGTGCCATAAAGTACGACCACAATAAATAAATAGTAGTAAATAGTAGTAAAAGGAGCAGCCAAGATCGAGCAAAGACAATCGGAAAGATTTCACCATTAGTAATAAAATTGCATTAAATAGTTCATTAAAAAATTGCGTTGAACTATATAGTTCTTTTTTATTTATATCCGTAGTGTGGATTCTCTTTGCGCGATACTCCGGTAAGTGTGTACGAAAGAGTGTGTGAGAAAAGTAAGTAGAAGTGCATTTGGTAGTCGAGTAAGGTTGCAGACGAGACATTCGCTTCCGCGTTTTTCTCTCAGCGATTTATCTCACCTTGCGCTCGTCCAGCACCTCGCCGGGACGAAGCTTCCTATGCTCCTATGGACCAAATCTCTATTAACCACTACTGCGAGGTAAAGATGGTTGTATTGTGCACGTGTATGTTTGTGTTTGCGTGTATACACAATAAACGATACTGCAACATGTTTACATTGTATAATGTATGATCGTTTCGATCGATCGGCATTTGTCCTACCCTGTTAGACATATCAAAACGCATTCCCCGCTTTATCTCTATTTTGAAACCGAACCAAGTCTCGCAAAATTGACTAAAATTAATTACATCAACGCAAGTTATGCGTCTGTTTAATTTTAGTAACTTTAATTAATGCTTTTCTGCTATTTTCATTCCCGAAAGTTGCTCTAGTTTTAAGCAGTTGAGCTAAAAATATTTATTAAGGTGTAACGCTAATTATAATTTAGAAAGATTATTTTAAGACAAAAAAATGTGAGATCTTATCTCGAAGTAATAACGAAATATCCGATGAAAATTTTACGGGGAACGCCTTCGATCGTCTCACTCTCAGCTGAGATAATCCACATAATCGTCAATTATCCGTGTTTCTTCGACGTTCTTCTTCAGGAAGTGTCCGTTTAGTTCTTCAAATTCTTGCTTTTCGCAAGTCAATACGCACCAATCTTGAAAGTCCTCAATATTACGCATCACAAGTTGACTTTCCATTCTCTTTTTCTTTTTGGGAGAAATGCCTTTGCTGACGATGGAAGATAACGGAACCTTTTTCGAAGGAAGGGACAAAGGAAGAAAGGAAGATGCTTCAGAAGCTGGTAAACTCTGGATCTTTCACGATGAGGGGTTTCTAATCTAAATCTCACGCCTTGCTGACACTAAACGCGACGTGCGTCACTCGACGAACTTGTCGTCGGGGATTCACGGCGCGTATCTATCACGAGTACGACACCACTAAGACCATCACTGGACTTACACTATAAAACTCAAAAAAAAGCTACAAAAAACCCTAGGGCCAACCAGCAGTAGCCAGTCTACCTACTTGTTCGTCGAGTGTCTTATGCGACTCGTTAATCATCTACCTAATGGGACTCGTACAAACACTTTGCACTTTGAAATATATTCAGTATAACATATTCTAAAGTAATACAGAAAATGGAAACCTATTTTATATATTAAATTAATTTGAAGAAATATAGAATTTGTACAAAAAATATAGATTATTAATTCAATAATAATATTAAAATACATATATTTCAATTAATTTAATATATGGATTTTATATTTAATATAATTTTCTCTCTATATTATTTTAAAAAATGTATAGACATTAAAATAATCTTTTTAAATATTATTCTCGTTATATATTTTATATATG